TTATTTTAAGAAAACAACCAATCCAGTTTGGTTGGTCCATGTTATGGGTCCAATAGTAGTGTAGTTGGATGGGGCTTGACAAGAGCTTTCCAACGATATATTATAAGCCCAATTCCGATGAATATTGAGGAAGTTATGGCCAATTTACCAAACTGGGCCCGGTTTAATCCTTATATGCGGCCAAATGATCTAGGGGAGGGCCTAATATGATTTATCATTCCTAATTCAATTAGCATTGATAAATTGAATTTTTTTTACTTTTTAGAGTTTTAATTAAAATCAAAGAGCATTTTTTAGGAAAATACAATTTTATCCTCCTGTACGGCAATATTTATCTGATTTTAGAAAACGCGTGAAATTCTGAAATCAGCGCCAAACACCAGCTGTAGCGCCTGGCGCCAGCCTTGGTGCCTGGCGCTAGTGTTGGCACTGGTTCGTTTTTCTGTGCGCCAGGACTCTGTTTTAATAATTTTAACTTTTTGGCTGATTTTCTCTATAAATAACGTCGTAAAAACTCCGTTTTCATTCACCAATTCTCATCAACATTCATCTACATTCACATACAACCAGTTTTCATTCGCAATCATCTATTCTCGCATTCTCTTCTAATCCATCTCTTTCTCTCTCTCCCTTTTTCTAAACTAGTTTTTCAAAATACAAAATTCCGCATTCGCAAGATCTAGAAACACCTAGCCATATTCGAAGTTGCCTTCGCCCTAGACGTGAAAGGTTTAATTTCTAAGAGTTTGGTCCCAAATCTCTCTTTCGATTATTTAATTTAATTATTTGTTTCTTATTTTCCTTGAAGTTACTAACGTGTGTATTTTGTTATTAGAAAGAGGTACGAGGCATCAAAGTAAGTACTTTAATGGTTTTTATTGATGTTATGATGTAGAAATCATGTTTAAATTGTTATTATGATATTCCTAGTATCATGTCTAGGGTAAATTTAATATTAAATATGATTGTTACGATGCCTTCTATATTCTTCCTAATATTTATGATTGTTAGTATCATGTTAGGGTTAAAGATTTGATTTTTATTGCTTAGTGACATGCTAGGGTTTGTTATTAATCTTGTTAGTATCATGCATAGGATCTTGCTATTTTTATTATGCTTTAACATGATTTATGATTATAATTTTATTATTGCTATAATTATTATTATGATTAATATGATTGTTATTTTGATAATTATTGTTTTGAAGATTATAATTATTATTATGGTTATTATGTTGCTTGATATACATATTTATTGTTATTGCTTGATCACGCCTTTTATGCATGTTTAAAGGGAATTGGTACTTGTAATCACGCTTAATAAGATATTAATAATCTTGTTTAGGGTTAATTTGATTATAATTCAAGTGATCGCCAATAATAGATTTGTTTGTGCATTAATATTCAACCAACATAGATAAACATGTTTAGATAATCCTATTGATTGCATGTTAATCCTTAGAATTCCTAAAACTTGTTGGCGACTCTTTTGCTCTATCTTCTTCCCTTTTGGACGCCACCGTACTTTAATGTATGATCACAGTGGGGTTCAAGCTAGGGAATTAACGCTTGAAACTATTCCCCACAAGTGTCTGTATCCTTCTCCGCCTGAAATAACGAAATCGGTTTTTTAACTGTTCAACTTCTAGGTTAAACTTTTTTTAAAGTAACTATTCTAATTCTTGGGCGGGAAAGATGATTTTACCATTTTGCCCTTTTAAATTCGGGATTTATATGGAAGAGGGTTGACTTCATTTTGGCACTTTAGAACTTTGAGAATTCTAAGGATTTTACCATTTTGCCTTATAAATTTGGGGGAGGTTGAGGGGAAACCCGTTCGATGCGTAGTCAAAATTAAATAAATTATGTAGTGTCTAGTGAGAACTTTTATTGAATGTTGTATGCTTGAAACATAGGTGCAACAAGGTAAGTTGTGTGTTGATAGGAAATTATATGTTAGTGTGTTAATTATGCTTATGTACTCAGCTTTGCTGATTGTGTGTTTTGTATGTTTGTTGTCCTTGTCTTTACCTTGGCCCTATGATGACCCATTTTACTGGAGAGTAGTGGAAACAAGTAGAGATAAGCTTTTCAGGTGATGAAGCATTTTCATGAATGGGTATGAGTGAAGAGCCACTACAAAAAATAAGCTATTTTGAGACAGCCAAAATCTGTCGCAAAAATAGCAAAAATCGTCGCAAAAAGTAGTTACGACAGTCAATTATCGCAATTGGTTTGCCGCAGTCAGCGTTGTCGCAAAATTTCATTTTTATGACAGTTTGACTGTCGTAAAGATTTTTTACGACGATTTTACTAATATCAGCGACAATTTTGTATTTTGTCGTTGTAAGTAATCTACGACAGAAATAAACCGCCGCAAAGTTACGACAGAAAAAAAAAAACTGTCGTAAATAAAGGTTTTAGCGACGGCTGGCCGTCGCTAAAAACACTCGCAAAAAAAAAAAAAAAAAAAAAAGACGCCCTTCCCCTGCTCCCCCTTACCCAGTGCTTCCTGCCTCTAACCCCCACCCACTGCAACCTTTCACACCACCGTCACGTACCAACTCGCCCTTCCCACCACCACTGACACCCCTTCAACTTTAAAAAAAAAGGAATATTCAGATCTAAACATAAACCGAACAAACAAACATCTAACAAAAAAAAAAAACCCAACATAATAAACAAAGATAAATGAAAACATCAAACAAGAAATACAAAATAAAAATTATTTTTAATCAAAACCCTGCAAAAAAATTGAACAAAATATATTGAAACAACAATGAAAATAGTACAAAATTTGACCAAAAAAGGCAAAAAAAATCAAACAAAAAAAACCCACAAATTATTCATGGAAAATCGAACAAATGTAAAAGAAATTAAACACATAAACAATAATAACCATTTAAAGGAAATTCACCCCTAAAAATCAAATTTAAATTTAAATTAATGGAAATAAACACAAACAACCAGGATAAAACAATAAAATTCATCAAATAAAACAGAAATCTTTAGACCCAAAAAATCAGAAAATAAACAAAAAACAAAATAATTAAAACAAAAAATACAAAAAAAATAACATACCTTTGAAATTTCCTTATCTTTGGGTTTTCATGGTGAAATTCGACCATAAAAACTCTAGATCTGGAATTTTTATGGTCGAATTTGACCAAATGAACTCCAACATCACGAAATTAGACCTCAAAAATCAAACCACCTCGACCAAGAAATTCAAGCATGAAGAAAGAGGAGTGAGTAACACAGAGAGTAGGGTGAAAGAAACTAAGAGAAGAGAGGAATAAAGAAACTAAGAGAAAAGGAGAGAGAAATAAGAAACTCTGAATGAGGAGGAGAAGTGATAGAAACCGAGAAAGAGGAAGACAAGAGGAGAAAGAAATTGAGAAACCAAGAGAGAGGAGAAAAACGGCGAAAATAGATTAGGGTTTGTGGGCTTGTTGGGTACTCCGTGTTAAATACCCTTACTTTTTTTTTAAAAAAAAAAACAACTTTGCGACTGCAATAAACTGTCGCAAATTACGACGGTTTTTGAAAACCGCCATAATTTGCGACAGTTTACAGCTGTCGTAAATATTTAATTTTTTATAAATATTTTTAATGTCTATTACGACAGTTTTATTGTCAAAAATCGTCGTAAATCAACGACAGTTTATAAAAACCGTCGTAATATAACGGAAGCCACTAAAACCGTCGTAGAATTAAAAATTACGACAGTTTTGATAGCTGTCGTAAAAAAATTGTCGTTAAATTTCCCGAATTTTAGTAGTGAGGGAATCAAGCTAGTTTGTGTAAGTATATGAACGTGTTATTGCTTTAATTATTTATGACTTTATTTATTTCATGTGACTAACAAAAAGGGTTTTGAATTTCGGTTTTGTTTAAATAAGGGCCTACAATGGTTCCAAGTTGTAGGTTGACTTTATTTTGCTTCGTTTGACTTTGGTTTGACTTTACTTTCGTTGTTTGATTTTCAAAATGTTGACTTGGTTTGAAATGTTTTGAAATTAGTCTTCCGCTGTGTGTCTGTTGCCTTAGCCGTTATCACGGTGGCGGTAATGTCTTAGATATTCCTATTTAAAGTTTTAAACAGGGCGAAACAGGTATTTAAAAAAATAAGGAATTTCTAGGGTGTTGCAAAGTGGTATTAGAGCGCTTAGGTTGAGATTTTATTACCACTAAAGCTAAAAAGTGTTTTAAAGTGTTTTAATTGTAAACTTGGCCACGTAATTATTTATTGGTAAAACTTTCAGAGAACTAATTTTTATTTTATTCTAATTATTTTATTTTGGGAAGATTAAATAGTTATTGGTTTAATTTAAAATCAAATTTTTATTTATTTATTTGGTCCGATTTTTTTAAAAAAAAGGGGCCGAAATTTTTTTTTTATTTAGGTGGTCCGAATTTTTTTTTTTTAGAGGGAAGGTTCGAATTTGTTTGGGAAGTCCGAAAATTTTACCTTCTTTCTTATTTAAACTCGAAAATTTTAATTATAAAGGAGTCAAAAATATTTTTAGCTTGTTCATTTTGCAGGAAAGCAAGGATTAAGGTAAGTATTATGTGTTAATAGCTTTGGAAAAGCATGTTGGTGAGATTGGGTAGGAAAGAAATTTGGGCATATAAGTTAGAAATAACCATGTTCTTGTATGCATTAATATTTAGGTTGTGATGTTTAATCATGTTTTTGGATTACTTGTGAGCATGTTATTATGTGAATAAGAATGATAAATTGTTTGATTGAACATTGAACCTAATTTATGCGAGAACTGTATTATTGTTATTTATTTTTATTTTTGGGAAGAAAATTCTTTTCTAAGTCTTTTCCTTTACAGGATGCCAATCTTACCTAGCAAATTCACCCAACTGGGCACACTTGTTAAAAAAACAAAATGAACACCCCTGTGATTATGTAGAAAGGATCGGATATTTTTGTTCCTATATGAGTAATGTCAAGACAGAGTTTATGACACCCCTGACCGCATTTCAGCCATGATTGTTCATTGTCTCCCAGAAGAGCCTCCTTATCTTGCTGTCAAAGAAAAATTTTCTGGCTTTTATCTTCCTGGAGACATTCCAAACTACCACAAATACAGGTATTATTATGGTCAATGGTACCTAGATTATGCTTTCTTAACCAATTACCTTGTCAGGATTGAAAAAGCTTATTATCAACGTTTGCACATTTCATTCCCTGATTATTATTATAACAATCCAGTAGGGAATAATCCTCTTCAAGGTCATCAGTCCGAAAGTTCTTCTTCTTCTTCTTTAGGGGGAAATCAAGCAGAAAATAGGGAACAACAACAGGACGACAGTTCACTTATGGAGATATCAAATCCAAATCACCTCCAACTCCGATTGTTATCGAAATCTCATCTGATGAGGAGGAAGAGGGGGACTTTGTACAAGTAGAACCTGAATCTAAAACACTTGAACCTATGGAAGAGATAGATGATTCTGAGTTCGATCTTGAAATCTACAAGCAATCTACTGACAAGAGAGACAATGTCCAAAAGGATTAGTTTTTAAAGTTTTTCTCATTTTGGATAATAAGTTTTAACTAAAATTTATTGCTATAATTTCAGTTTTAAATAAATAAGTGGCATGACCACGATGAGTCAGTGAGCTTATGTAGTACATAAGTTCTAGAATTCAATATTAATTTGATAGTCCTTGTTTATTTTTAATTAATAAAAATTCTATTTATTTCTTTGTTAAATTAATTATATTGATAAATAATTTATTTTATTCTCCAAACATCTTCCATTTCACATCACCATCCTAATAGCCAAAATTCCAATCAAATTAATTCCAATACATTATTTCTAAACTATGGGGATCTATGGGAATTATTTTTCTTATTTTGATGTGATGCTTATTTAAATGCATGGTTGATTAGCAATCAATAATTGATTGGCAAAGCTACAATTCAGGGAATTCCTACCTTTTGCTATGCCAATTTGTTAGCTTCAAATTTTATTGTGATTGTTTCAAGGGTGTTAAGTAATAGATGAGTGTATACCTTGAGAGCTAACCAAAGCCTTATCTAATATAAACCTTTGATCTTAATTCAGGAGAAGCAAAATGGCAGGGGGAAATACTTCTGGCAATGATGGAAATGATTTGAGTGAAGTAATGAGACAGTTGGCGGTTGTAGCCCAACAATTGGCCAGGAATGTGGATGCACAGGGTGAACTTTTTAATAAGGTGGCTCAAAGTAAGCCACCAACCTATCAAGGAGAACCTTACCATACCATATTAGAAAATTGGTTAAGGGAGTTTGAGAAACTGTTTGAGGCAGTTGGGTGCCTTGAAAATTCTAAGGTAGGTTGTGCTACTTATTACCTGAGAGGTGAAGCTGATCTTTGGTGGCAGCAAAATGAGAGAACTATTAGAGCTCTACCGGGATTCAATTGGACTAGGTTCCAAGAAAATGTGAGAGACAAGTTTTACCCTAGCTTCTTACATAAGCAAAAGGCTGAGGAGTTCTCAAACCTCAGAATGGAGGAAATGTCAGTGACAAGTACTATACCAAGTTTATTAAGCTATCTCGTTTTGCTAAAGAGTCCATCTCTACAGAGAAGGCAAAATCTAGGAAGTTTGAGAGTGGTTTGACTAATGATTTACAGCTGAAGTTGTGTGGACAAGTGTTTGAAACCTTGGATGAAGTGTATGGTAGAGTTGCACACTTGTATGCTCTCGAGCTGAAGAAAAAGAAGGAATTAACTGATGTGGAAGTAAAAGAAAAGAGGAAAGAGGTGGGGATGAACTCGGGGAACCAACAGGGTAACCAGAACAATTTCAAGAAGCAGAAATACCACCATAACAACAACAACTTCCACAACAACAACAACAACAATTCTCAAGGTAACAATTGTCAAAGAGGACGTAACTTCAATGGAGGGGCTAGAAACAATGACCAAGGGAATAACAGAAATGAGAGGCGTTATTTTTGCAAAAGGTGCAAGAATAACCATCCTGGAAGGGACTGTGATGGAAATTTGGTGTTTGTCGTGCTTGTAACAAGTTAAGGCATAGAGAGTATGAATGTTTCTCTAAAGATTCTAATGGGAATAAACAAAATAACAATTCAGGAGGGACCCAAAGGAACTTTCAGGGAAACAACAATAACTTCAATGGAAGTAAGGGAGCGCAACAGAATGGAGAAAAGAACAACAATAACAGCAACAATGGGAACAATCAGCAGAAAAGTGGAGTTGCAGGACAATTGAATGTGTTAAGTAGGCATGAGATTGATTCCACGAAAGATGTCATCACTGGTACTTTTTCTATTCACTCTATTCCTGTTAAAGTTTTATTTGTTTCTGGTGCAACTTTTTCTTTCATTTCAAAAAGAATTGTTTCGAAACTTAAAGACTCTTTGAAAACAGTAGAAGTAGTAGATTTACCAATAACCATTCAACGGGTGGGGTAGTGAATTGTACCAAAACCTTTGAGAATGTACCTTTAAAGATCGAAGGGAAAGTGTTTCAGTCTGACCTGATCGAGTTTAGGTTAAAGGATTTTGATGTCATCCTAGGAATGGATTGGTTGAGCAAGTACAATGCTGAAATAAGTTGTCGGTCGCAGAAAGTAAAAACGACCACAAGTGAGAATGAGGCAGTGACTTATTGGATGCATGGCAAAGCCAAATGCCCTAGGTTGATTTATGTGTTGAAGTTGGCAAAGTACATGAAAAAGGGACATCCAATGTACTTCTGTAGTGTGAGGAACATGGATCATGAGGAGGCAACTAAGCTAGAAGAAATAAAGGTAGTGAATGAATTTCTAGATGTATTTCCAGATGAAATCCTTAGAATGCCACCCAAGAGAGCAATTGATTTCACCATAGACTTAGTCCCAGGGAAAGCACCAATATCCAAGGCACCATATCGGATGGCACCTGTAGAGGTGAGTGTGTTAAAGGAGCAGTTGCAGGATATGTTGGACAAAGGGTACATCAGACCGAGTGCATCCCCTTAGGGAGCACCAGTTTTGTTTGTTAAAAAAAAAAGATGGGAGCATGAGGTTGTGCATTGATTACAGAGAATTGAATAAGGTGAAAATAAAGAACAAATATCCACTTCCCAGGATTGATGATTTATTTGATCAGTTGAAAGGCGCAATCGTGTTTTCTAAGATTAACTTGTGGTCTGGATATCATCAATTGAGGATTGCAGATGAAGACATTCCTAAAACCGCTTTTAGGACAAGATATGGACTACGAGTTTACAGTAATGCCATTTGGATTGACAAACTCTCCAGCAATCTTCATGGATTTGATGAACATGGTGTTTCATCAGTATATGGATAAGTTTGTAGTAGTGTTCATAGACGATATATTGGTGTATTCGAGGAACAAAGAGGAGCATGTAGAACACCTGAGGGAAATTCTGCAAACACCGAGAGAAAACAATTTTGGTTAGAAAAGGTAGCATTCTTAGGTCATTTAGTGTCTAAGGATGGCGTGGAAGTAGATCCAGCAAAAATTGAGGCTGTGAAGGGTTGGCCTACGCCCAAAACAGTGTCTAATGTTTGGAGTTTTCTAGGTTTAGCAGGATATTATAGGCGTTTTGTGAAAGATTTCTCGAAGATTGCTAAACCTATGACTACTCTAATGAAGAAGGACAAGAAGTTTGAGTGGGATGATAAATGTGAAGAAGCATCCCAACTCTTGTAACAGAAGCTGGTTACAGCGCCAGTGCTAACTCTACCAGACGACAGTGGTATTTATGATGTATATAGTGATGCATCAAAGAATGTTTTGGGGTATGTGCTTATGCAAAATGGAAAGGTGATTGCACACGCATCAAGGCAATTAAAAACCCATGAAGTAAATTACCCAACCCATGATTTAGAACTTGCTGCAATTATCTTTGCACTAAAGATCTGGCGTCATTACTTGTATGGAGTGAAATGAAGAATTTACACAGACCATAAGAGCTTGAAGTACATTTTCACTCAGAAGGATTTGAACACTTGCCAAAGGAGATGGTTAGAGTATACGACGGATTATGACTTAGCCATTCAGTATCATGAAGGAAAGCAAATGTAGTCGTTGATACTCTAAGTCGTAAGACCAGTCATGGATTAAATACTTTGATAGTGGCTGAAGAGTTATGTAGGAAATGAGTAAAATGAATTCAGAGGTTGTAGAATGGGGGGTACCAACTGACATTCTTGCAAATATGACTATCCAACCAACCATATTCAATGAGATAAGGGAAAACCAGGCAGGAGATGTGAAATTGGATAGGATTCGCGAGAAAATTAAACAAGGCAAAACTATAGATTTCAAAATTCATGAAGATGGAAGTTTGAGGTACAAGGGTTGATGGTGTGTACCTCAAAAGTGTGAGGAAGTGAAGAGAAATATAATGGAAGAGGGACACAATACACCCTATTCAGTACACCCAGGAGGGGATAAGCTATATAAGGACTTGAAAAAGGTGTATTGGTGGCCTAGAATGAAGAATGAAGTTGCGGAATTTGTAGCAAAATGTCTGACTTGCTAGAAGGTGAAAATAGAGCACATGAGGCCACAGGGAACTGTGCAATAATTGGAAATCCCTTGATGGAAGTGGGATTGCATCTCAATGGATTTTGGTGACTTGCCTTCCAAAATCAAGAAGTGGAAATGACACCATTTGGGTAGTGGTGGACAGACTTACAAAATCTGCAGTTTTTATACCAATGAAAGATACTTGGAAGATGGAACAACTTGCAAAAGCTTACATCAAGAATGTTGTGAGGTTACATGGAGTTTCAAAAGATATTGTGTCTGATAGAGATTCCAGGTTTCTTTCAAAATTCTGGAAAAGCATGCAGGAAAACTTTGGTACGACACCAAAGATGAGTACAGCGTTTCACCCTGCCACATATGGGCAAACTAAGAGAACCATTCAAACCTTGGAAGACACGTTGAGAGCTTGTGTTATAGACTTCCAAGGAGGATGGGAGGATAGCTTGGATTTGATTGAATTTTCCTATAATAATAGTTATCATGCGAGCATTGGAATGGCTCCATTTGAGGCATTATATGGGAGAAAGTGTCGTAGTCCAATCTTTTGGAACAATATAAGTAAAACAATGATTCTAGGACCTCAAATGATCAAGGATACAGTGAAAAAAGTAAGGGAAATTCAAGCTAAGATTCAGGCAGCTCAAGATTGCCAAAAGAGCTACGCGGATTTGAAGCGTAGAGAGGAGGAATTTGATGTTGGCGACAAAGTATTATTAAAGGTATCACCAATGAAAGGAGTAATGAGATTTTGAAATAAAGGAAAATTGAGCCCAAAGTACATTGGTCCATATGAAATACTGCAAAGAATAGGCAAAGTAGCCTATAGGTTGGCCTTACCTATGGAGCTAAGCAAAGTCCATGATGTATTTCATGTGTCTCAATTAAGAAGGTACATACCTGATAAATCCCATGTGCTACAACCTGAAACCATTAAGCTAGACCAAAGTTTAACTTATGAAGAGAGACCTGTCAAAATCCTTGATAGTAAAGTGCGTAGTACACGCAATAAGAATGTCAAGATTGTGAAAGTGTTATGGTTTAACCAAGAATATGAGGAATCCACTTGGGAGGCAGAAGATGAAATGAAAAAGAAATACCCAGAGTTGTTTCAGGTATGTTGAGTTACGGGGACGTAACTCGTTTTCTTTTAGGGGGTAGAATGCGGTAGAATTTCGTGCTTTTCCCTATATTTTCGATAATTTTTGTGCTTTTTGCACAATTTTAATGAGTATTTTGAGTTATTGTGTTCTCAATGACACACAAAAAGGTAAAGGAATGACAAAAAGTACAGCAATATTATACTAAGTGAGGAAAACTTTGAATTTCGTTTCTCAAGTTTCGGGACGAAACTTCTTTTAAGGAGGGTAGACTGTAATACCTCGTATTTTTATTCGTATTTTTATACGTATTTTTAATTAATATAAGTGTTTTGAGAAGTATTTGATTAAATTGAATTGTTTTAACTAAAGTATTCTAATTATTTATTTTAAAGAAGTTTGGAAATATTTATAAAAGGAAAGCTTATTTAATTAATTAATTTAATTAAGTTGGGGTTTAATTTAAAGAAAGTTTTTATTTATTAAAGTTTTATTAGGGATGGGATTAGGAAAATTAAAAGAGGAAAGTTAGGGAAAAAGGGTTTGTAGTGAAGGGGTATAAATATCCCACATATGAGGCAAATCAAACTTTGCCCAGAGTGAAGAAAACCCAAGGTAAACTTCTCTTTCCTTTCTCCTTATTTTTCTTTCTTTTTCTTTCTCTTCTTCCCCTTCCCCTTTTTTCTTCTTTTCGGCTCCCCTTCACCACCACCGGCCGACCACCAGCAGCGGTGGCCGCCAGCAGTCGACCGAGCCAACTGCCGGCAATAGGCAGCCACCGGCGCCGACAGCAGCCTGGTGGTTGTCGGCTATCATGGTCCAATTATAAAAAAAAATGAATCTTTATTGTTTAAAACTAATTTATTCCTAAATCTAATTGTTAATTATGAGTTTTGGGATTTGATTTTGATGTTTTATTATAAGTATCACGTTAATTAATTTTAAGATTATGTTTTTAATTAAAAAGCCCCAATTTTTTAAACCCTAGATTCTTGATTTGTAAATTATTGAAGGGTTATGATGTATAATGATTTAGACCTTTGATTAAAGTGTTTTAAGGCTTAATTACAGCAAGTTTTAATCAAAATATAGTGCTGGAATTTTTAGTAGAGCACTTAAAATCAAGTTTCTTTAAGAAATTTTTATTACCCATTAATTGGGATTAAATTATGATGTTTTAAATATAATTTCAGCATGTTTTAATTAAATTATGAGGGGGTTTTATAATAGTATATATTGCTGGAAATTTATGTAAAGTGGATTTTAATACTCTTCTATAATTTTAAATTGTAGGAGACTTTGAGTGATTTTTATTAGTCGTGGCGATTCTAAGATCGTATACAAGGTACGTTCGCGTACTTAGCATAATTATGTTAATATAATAGCATGCTAAATGTGTTTGATTGATTACAAGTAGTATCATGCTAGGCTTAGATTGGAAATTATGATTTGGATATTATTGGTGATTGGATTATGAAGCATGATTTATTTGTGATGGATTATTGAATTGAAAATCATAGTTTGGAACATTATTTATGAACCACATATTTATTTATGGCAAGTTAGAGAGCATATTTAATTAAACTAAATGTTTAATTTAGTTTGGAATATTAAAAAGGAATTTTATTATGGTTCATATAATTTTTATCGATGCTATAAGAATGAGGAAAGAGCTATATAAGTGTCTATGTACACGAGGAATAAATTGTATGTTGGTGCCTTAGTGCACTTAAGGTGTTCTTAACATCGAAGGATAGGATTTGAGGCGCTCTATACGTTTAAGGTGTCATTGGCACCGAGGTAGAATTAAAAAGG